TATATATATATATATATTTCTTTTTTCATGCAAGTAGAAATCACACATCAAGTCCTTGGATGGTATCCAACGTCTTTCTAGATTCGCGGTTCAGACATTAACATTTCATAAATATACACTTGATGAAAAATAGTTTTTTTTTTGTTGCCATCTAAATACTTTATTTTTATTATTTTAATTGGGGAGCTCAATATATTATTATATGTATTTAATTTCATTTGTATCTATTTATAAGCTTAATTTTTTCTATTAAAAAACTGCGAGATATATATAAATTCAATCTTTAATTAATAAACCAAACTAACAAAATATCATCTTAAAATTTTAGATTTTTTTTATATACTTATTCTCACCAAATGTTGAACTTCATTTAATATTTATGAAGTTCTATTGTAAATTTGAAGTTGATTTTGCATGGCATGGCGCGCTGGATAATTTGCATGGGGTTGATTCCCGTAGGACATATCAACTGATAAATGAATTAGTTTGCAATACCTCATTATATGTAGCGTTGCCATATATGAGATTCGACTGCATGACAATATCAAATATTCACTGATCACATATATATACATATATATATCGAGTGAAGAATGTCTTCCAAACAAAATTATAGATTTTCAATTATAATTGACTATCGGATCATAGGATTACAGACACGATATATATATATGTATGTATGTATGTATGTATGTATATATATTCGTAGGAACAGATGGACCAGTTGGTGTGTAATAAGATAAAGAGATATTCAGAAAACAAAGTAATGTGTTGATGTCTTGCCAAATCTTTGCAAACGTCAAGAGCTTTATGTCATTCAAAAACTCGTGTTGGATATTATCGGCTTTTGTATATGCTCTCTCTCACAAATCTTGTCGAGAGAGCTTCGTGATTATTCGGTGTGGTTCGCATTCATATCTTCATAATGGAATCTTATTTCGGTTAAAAGAATAATAAATAAATCCCGGAACCGAAAACAAGCTATGCGATTAGAATATGCATTCTTTTCTTCAATTTGAGGTTCGAATTCGGGACATAAGAGAAGATTTGCGTATCAATTTTACCGGTTGAACTATCCAAATTAGATTCGAATATAATATATATTTTTCACTAGATAAAATTTCAATCTAATTTATATATTTTTTTTTAAATATATTAATTCTGCACGTGTTAATAAAATAAAACTAAGATATTCTATTTTTTTCTCTCGACTATTATATATTAGCTGTATCGATATTAGTATAGATCCTCTCTTGAGATGATTAGTCTTTATAATTTCGATAATTTTACTACACATAACGTTTTTATAAGATTGAGTTCCCGAACTTTGGAGGAAATCCAAGGAAGAAAGAATGATTAAAAAAAAAACCGATTTTTGAATATTACACCTAAACCGGATTCCAAATCGACCTTAAAAATAGTTTACAATTACGGGAACACGTATTTTGTGTTCGTCGATTTTCTCTTTAAAAAAAAAAAAAGATTATCTCTAATGTTGTTTTCGATTTAAACGTATTTTACGAAGATACCGATAACATTACAAACACCAATTGGAATATTTTGAAACTTCATCTTCGATAAGAAACGTATATATATATATATAAATGGAATATGATGCATCGGATTTATCAAATACTTAGCAGAGTGATTAATTTGTATATATATTTTATAATTAAAGAAATAAGAAATTGAATGCGTCATAATTAATGAGAATAAAAAAACCTAGGAAGACAAGGAGCATCGCCTAGGTTTCTGCTGCGTGTACTGTCGTATTTTCTTGTTGGACCTTTTTGTTGCCTTTTCACAACCGTCAACCACATTCTTCCTGTTTTCTCCTTTGATACCAAACATCAATATATTTTGCTGTGCCCGGATATGATTTCGTTTCCAATTTATTCGAAAACAAAAAAAAAAAATCCATATTCCGAAACATATAATAAATACAAGCATACAATCCGTACCCCCACACACGTGTACATATATATATATATATAATTATATATATATATATTGCCTTCCTTCACATGAAAATAATTTTGCAGCACCCGTGACTGATCGAATGGTGTAATTGGTTGAGAAGGATAAATGATGTCTTTGTTTCAAATTCCATGTCCAAACAACGGTTGAGGAAGTGATGTATATTCAGACTAATTCCGAATTTTGGGAGATATAGTTGGGTCGAATATTTATATATATAATAACGTTATTATTATTTTTATTATTATTACGGATAAATATTAGCCCGTACACCCATACGTATTATTAACCTAATAACGAAATATTAATTCAGAAAAAAAACATAGATATGTAGTGTTTATGATGGATTAAAACAATAGCATAAGGGTATCAAAATACAGCAATTTGTCAAGAAAACACCATATATTAAGCTCGTAGTCCAAATTACCAGAATATATTCGTTTATTGGCGTGTTTAAAAAAAGTATTCTCTCTTTCAAAAGTGAATGGGCTGTTAAAACTCGGCCCAAGATAGGTATAATATTGGGCCTTTTCTTGATGAGTCTAAAAACAAAAGGCTCGAACGTCAATTCAGCCAAAATCCCAAATCCACATCATTTTTGGGAATGGCCCATGAACCCTAATTTATCAGCGGACAAACGAAATCCCTAGTTCCCGTCAGAATTGTCAATTTTCCAGTCTCTCTCTCTCTCCGGCTTCTGCGATTTGTGCCATTTCTGTCAGTATACTTCCCTGGAGACCAGAGGAGATAATCCCTAGCTCTGCTTGTGAAGGGAAGTTCTCGTTCTGCTCATCTGCTGCTGCTACTGTTTCTTCCTCGTCTTCGTCCCACGATGAACTGTGCAAGTAAAGCTCCCCTTCGCGTTGCTCTCTCTTCCCGTCAGCGTTTTGCGTTTTCTTGTTGAATTTTAAATGCCGACACCTTCCGTACAGTTTCCGGAGAAGTCCCGGAGGAGCCGGTGGTGTCGACAAAGTCCGGTTTGCTCTTCGAGAGGCGGTTAATCGAAAGGCATATATCGGTAAGCTCTTAGTTGTTCCATCTTTCTAGGGTTTTCAGACGTTTGTAATAATTTTGATCTCTTTGTTTGTTCACCCAGAAAATTTATCGTATTTCTCAGTGCTGTGAGTTTATTCTGCTTCAGATTATATTGGTACTAGCGTTAAGTCTCGGTGATGTATTCGATGTCCTCTGTGTTTTTTTGCAACTAGTGGGATTCTTACTGTATAATTGAATGCGGAATTGATCGAACGCGCCTGCATTTGTTACAGTCAATTCCTCTTCTCCTTCTTCATTTCTTTGAGTGCAAATGGACGATACCTTAACGTAGGTTTTTCAGATTTACACATTTGTCAACAATAAGTCCGCTTGGAGTTCTGTTCAGATTATGAATACACCTTACAATAGACTTCTAAATTTTTTATTTTGTGCAGGAGTATGGGAAATGCCCAGTTACAGGTGAACCACTTGCCATGGATGACATTGTTACCATCAAAACTGGGAAGGTATGCAGCTGCTGCTGCAATTTTTCCATAGAGCATTCAAGCAGAGACTTATTAACCTTATTCCCTTTCTTGTAATGCTTTTGCAGGTTGCTAAACCTAAACCATTGCACACGGCTAGTATTCCTGGTTTACTCGGGATGTTCCAAAATGTAAGTTTTTAGGTGCTGTACCACCCTTTTCCCATTTGTTTTTGTGCTCATTTTTTCTCTGGGAGGTTCATTCAGAGAATACTATATCCCTTGTTTTCTGTTAGCATCATGTTGAGTTAGTTTCATGGATCTGAGAATATGGTACTTTATTCCGGGTTTGTGCTGTTGGATGTTTGAATTGATATTTGTCAATTTTTTAGCACGGTTGGCACTTCGACCACCTGCTCGTAAACTGGCCACTAGTCAAGACTAATTTGTGGATACACTACGTTACCTTAGGCAAAAAAAATTTCGTCATTGCTTTTTAGGAATGGGACAGTTTGATGCTATCAAATTTTGCCTTGGAGCAACAACTACACACTGCTAGGCAAGAGCTAAGCCACGCTTTGTATCAGGTAATTTTTTATCAAGTGCCTATGCATCAGCCTTCAGGAAAGTGGAAATGCATGCTTAACGAATTGCTAATATGCATTTTTTTTCCTTTCCTTGACTATTTTATGTATTGTTTGATCAATATTTTTTGCTCGTGTCCTTCTTATTTGATTTATGGGATAAAATTTCCTTCTATTTGCAGCATGATGCTGCTTGTCGTGTGATTGCCAGGCTTAAAAAGGAAAGGGATGAGGCACGGGCATTGCTTGCAGAGGTTGAAAGACAGATACCTGCAGCACCACAAGTTATGACAGCTAATGTTGCAATTAGTAACGGAAAACGAGGTATGCTTGTGCAATTGCTTGTCATAATATGTTAGCTATATATCTTTTCCGCTTCTGGATTTTTACTGTGTTTTATTGTTACACGATAGGTGCTGATGGTGAAGAATTGGGGCCTGATGGGAAGAGAATGCGTCCTGGAATTTCAGCTGAAATTATCACCGAACTAACAGATTGTAATGCAGCTCTATCGCAGCAGCGTAAAAAGCGACAGGTATTCTATATGGATTTGCATTATCTAGGTCATGGTTGAGACTTGGAAACCAAGAGAGGAATCTCTTTATGTCTTTATGCATCTACATATTTTTCTTGTTAGTTTCAGTCAACTGAGAGCTTTAAATTTGTTAGGTTGTACATCTTTGCATTGATTTCCGCTGTCTAAGTCTTTCTCATCTTGATTTCTGTAGATTCCTCAAACATTGGCTTCACTTGATGATCTGGAGAGGTTCACGCAGCTCTCAAGCCACCCACTTCACAAGACCAGCAAGCCTGGCATTATTTCAATGGACATCCTCTATTCTAAGGTTTCTCATTCTAAAGCTTCTCTTTCACTTCAGTTTACTTTATTGTTGTTTTCCTCTTCTTCTAGAAGTGACACGCCGATCTGTATTCCTTGCATTCCATAATATATTTCAATGAGGCTAAAGAATAGATTATGACCGTGAATCAATATGTACTTTATTCACAGCTTTTTGCATGTCTCGAATACGAGGTTCAGTGATCTGTTATATCTTTTAAAAATATGAGCAACATCTACTTTTTTATGCAAAGCTTGCCTACTCATTATTACTTTGTTTCTTGATTTGCAACCAGGATGTAATTGCTACAGGAGGAGCTGATACAACTGCCGTTCTCTTTGATCGCCCTTCAGGACAAATCCTTTCTACATTGAGTGGTCACTCAAAGAAGGTCTTAACATTTTTACTTTTGTTGTCTGTTTTTCTAAATTTTCTATTCCTATTTTGCTTTTGATATGCGTTGCTCCTTTTGCAGGTCACAAGTGTTAAATTTGTCGGCGACACTGATCTTGTTTTGACTGCTTCAGCCGACAAGGTGAGCCATGATCCACTTTAATGTCTGAAATACATTGTTTCAGATTTTTCTGGACGATGTATGAACCTGGTCTTTCTAGGAATTTTCATATATTGCCGTTAGTTGATGAGCAGGAGCAGACTGCTGAACTTGTTTATATGAGCATGGAATTTGTTTTTGCTGTACAACCCTTTACTTTGAGCTTGCTATAGCCTTTGCTGGCATGACTTTTACTAGACTTCGTTTTTTATGGCTGTCGAAGTGCTAATATCGACAAATCTGATTCATTGGCTAGATTGCTATATGTATTTTGTATCGATCACACCTTTTAAATACAGCAATGCCTGATTAAATGTAATTTGACTTGCATATATTAAAACAGCAAATTAGTTGACTTGTCAAATGAAGTGATAGGTTCAGTGTATTCTGATACTCTGCAGACTGTCTGTGTCTGGAGAGGTTCTGAAGATGGAAACTATGATTGTAGGCACACCTTGAAGGATCACTCTGCGGAGGTAAAGATGAGATTAGCCGATTCCCATCCTCCGTATAGTTGTCTTTTAGGTCGTATCTGTTTCTTCCTTCTCTAGGAACTTTGACATACAAGCATTGATGCATTTTCCAGGTGCAAGCTGTTACTGTTCATGCTACAAATAAGTACTTTGTCTCAGCATCTCTTGACAATACATGGTGCTTCTACGATCTGAGCTCCGGTCTATGCCTTGCTCAGGTCATAATTTTTTCATCTCTCGAGCAACGATTATCTGTTATGACAGGTACAAACTTCTTTACTTCCATGGAGTCATCACCAGATCTCTTTTGGTTATTCAGGTCTCGGATGGTTCCGAGAAAATGGGTTACACTGCTGCAGCTTTTCATCCCGATGGTCTCATTCTGGGAACTGGTACCTCTCAATCGATTGTGAAGATTTGGGATGTAAAAAGTCAGGTAAAGTTATTGCCTCCCTGGCCATTTCCTCTTTAAATTCATTAATAATCTCTCTGGTAATCTTGATGTCTACCAAGGTTCTTTTTCATTTTTGTCTTCGGTTGGTTGACAGGCAAATGTGGCTACCTTTGATGGACACTCGGGTTCAGGGCCTGTTTCTGCTGTATCATTCTCCGAAAATGGCTATTTCCTCGCGGTGGGTACTTTGCTCAAACAAGTAAAAAATGGACTGTAACAGGTTCTATCCATATGACCGGTAATCTTTTTGTTCCGAACAGACTGCTGCTGGGGATGGTGTTAGGTTGTGGGATCTGCGGAAGCTCAAGAACTTCCGGTCATTTGATTTCACTGCGAACTCTGGTGTGCACTTACGAAATACATTTTCGTCAACTTCCGTTTCTTCCTGGGCCTCATCATATTACTACTTCTGTTGATGGGAATCAATCACTTATTCTTTTTTTTTTTTTTTTGCAGTGGAGTTCGATCACAGTGGATCGTACCTTGGAATTGCTGGATCTGATATAAGGTGAGTGTGCATAGAATATGTTTATGCATATACATATCATCTGAAAGGACTTAGTTCGATTCTGAAGCTTGAAATAAGTTGGGAAAATTAATAAATTAAATACATAATTTCTGTTCTTTCTCCAGAGTATACCAGACAGCCAGTGTGAAAGCAGAGTGGAACCTCATCAAGACTTTGCCTGATCTCTCCGGCACAGGTAAAAATCCTTCATGTGCCGAGGATTCCTCACCGTTGCTCTGTTCATAGATTGACTCTCCAGTTCCAATCGGATGATGATATTACAGGCAAAGCAACTTGCGTGAAGTTTGGCGAAAACGCAAAATACATAGCAGTTGGTTCAATGGATCGAAACCTCCGGATATTTGGTCTCCCTGGGGACGAAAACGCCGATGATGCTTCGGCTGCATCATCAGACTCGTGAAAATCACCATCACCATCGTCGTCGTCATCATCATCATCATCATAGATATGATTATCACCTGATTCTCTCTGGCTTAGTGTCGTATTTAGAAGTTTCTCTCAATATGGCTGCGCTGCATTCCTCTGGGCGGCAACGGTAGGGAGAAATTTATGGTCTCAAGTAGTGGTCAGTCACTTGGTTGTGTTTCTGCTTCTCTCCATCATATATCTGCTGAGCTTTTTTTTTTCATAATTATTATTACCTTTTAGTCGGATAGCCCTTTTTTTTTTTAACATTGTATCATCAAAATATGTTGTCCTTGACAAGCTTTTTCTTTTTTTAAATTATTATTGTTGTTTAAACTATAAGCTCTTGAGTTCAGGCAAAAGCTGCGTCTGTTATGAGATTTTGTCAGTCACTCTGTAAAGGTATTTTGACTGTACTTTTGGTCAAAATACACGCTGCACGATCTTCCCGTTCTCCCACAAATATCAGATTCCTTCTCCCTACCCTTTTTTTTTTTTTGGTTTCTTTGTTAGAAAAAATGCTCAAGATCTTGAAATTAACATTAATGCTGGTGTTTTTGGGTGTTGAATTTTGTCAGTAATGGTGGGTGAGCTTGAGTTTTGGTGTAGATAGATATAAAACCCACGTGCTCGCGAATGCCATTTTTTTATTTTTTTATTCTATTTCTATAACTAGGGTTTCAGATAACTTTGTGATTTATAAAGCACAAAAATTTTACAGTATTTTAGGGAAAATGTTGTATGAGAGAACACAAAAGCAGACGCAGTTTAAACAATTCAAGGTAATGGTTATAAAATTTATTCTAGTTCTGAAAATAGATGCATCAAAAATCTAAAAAGTAACAACCTATAGCCATAATCCCAACAAATAATTAAAAAAGTAACAACCAATAAAATTATTAATCACATTGAGAGGTCAAAAATACCCTTAATTTGCTATATCTACTTCAAGCCCTACCCTTGTGACCATGTGACCAATGTGACCGAATATAGTGTGGTCACATATTGATCTCATTGTTCATAACGTTAAATTTATGATGTTTTAATCAAATGATTAGTAAGATATACAAGGTATGAACATAATGAATTAGTGTGATCACCATAAATTTAACGTTATAATCGATAAAAATCAAAATGTGACCATACTATATTTCGGTCATATTGGTCACATGTGACCAGGGTAGATCTTGAAGTAGAAATAGCAAATTAAGGGTATTTTTGATATAATGACCATTGAGGGACTTCAATATTACAAGGGAGAGTGAGTACAAAAGGCAGAGGTGGTGGCGGTGGCTGCTGTTATAAAAACATTTTAAAAGAAGGAAAAAGCGAGTGGCTCTTTCTCTCTCCTAATCTCTTTGCACATCGAGAGAGAGAGAGTGTGTGTGTGTGTGTCCACCCAAACACTGGAAAAAGCCCCAGTCACTCTCTCGCCATTACAACCAAATCTAAAACTCAGAAACCTAGAAAAAAAAAAAAAAAGACTTTACTGAACCACCAAGCAACCAACCAATTGCAGAATACACAAGAACATCCCAATCCCACAAAACCCAACAAGAGTATCCGAGAACCCCACATAAAAGATTCAATCTTTCGATTCCATTACCTCAGTTTACCCGTATCAGAAAACCATACCTAAAACCACTAAAAAAAGTTTCTTGCACCTTCTCCTGAATCTGCCGAAGAAACGCAATGATTTGATTTTCAGGTCTTTCTTCCGACGTCCATCCCCCAAGAAGTCACGAAAGGAAAGATGGGATTTTTACACAAGACGAGACCTTCGATCGTGTTCCTCTGCGTCCTCTCCATGGCTCTGCTGCCAGATCTCGAGCAGACCATTGTCGCAGAGTCCGCAACAGCTGACTACACGACTTTAATCTACAAGGGTTGCGCAAGACAGCAGTTCTCAGATCCGTCCGGTCTCTACTCGCAAGCCCTCTCCGCTCTATTCGGTTCTTTGGTCTCTCAATCCACAAAAACCAGGTTTTACAAAACCACCACCGGAACCAGCCAAACCACCATTAGTGGGCTGTTTCAGTGCAGAGGAGACCTCAGCAACAACGACTGCTACAACTGTGTCAGTCGACTTCCTGTTCTGTCTGTGAAGCTCTGTGGCAAAACCATTGCTGCTAGGGTTCAGCTCTCTGGCTGTTATCTTCTCTACGAAGTTTCTGGCTTTGCCCAAATCTCAGGTAACCATTTTCTGCCTCCTCTCTCACTGATTCAACTGTTTAAAGTTCTTGGTTAGTAGTGGCTCGACCTTGGTTTAGTTATACCGAACCGGGTATTCCATTACTTCGGTTAGTCGGTTGAGATTAAGACTGGACTGAATCTTGCCTGAATCTCAAAGGAATTTCAGGTTCTTTTGTGTAAGCCTGCTCATTGATACAAGGGTGAAAATTTCGGGTTAGTAGTATGACAAGGGCTTTGGTTTAGTTTAACCGAACAGTAAAATTGGTTTTCCGGTTAAGATTTCTGTCACGAGATAAGGGTCCGGTTAGATAAAATCAGACAAATCTTGTTTCCTGGCTGAGAATTTTGTTTTGGATAAGCGACCACTCGATAGAGGCTCCGGTTAAGATAAAACCGATCGCTGAACCGAAACTCCGGTTTAATGGACGACAACAGGAATGGAGATGCTGTACAAGACATGTGGGAAGACGAACGTGGCGGGGACAGGGTTCGAGGAGAGGAGGGACACAGCGTTCGGGGTAATGCAAAACGGCGTCGGGTCGAGCCACGGCTTCTACGCGACCACGTACGAGGCTGTGTACGTGCTGGGACAGTGCGAGGGCGACGTCGGCGACTCAGATTGCGGCGTCTGCGTCAAGAACGCCGTCGAGAAAGCTCAGGTCGAATGCGGCAGCTCCATCTCCGGACAGATCTATCTCCACAAGTGTTTCATCGCTTATAGTTATTACCCTAATGGTGTTCCACGTAGATCTTCTTCCTCCTCCTCCGCTTCGGATTCTTCGCCTTCTTCTTCTTCTTCCTCGTCAGGTGAGATCTCTCAGAACCTCGTTTTTCTATTTCTGGGTTCATCGGATTCTGGGGTTTTTTTCCCAGGAATCCGAAAATCTTTAAAATTTCGAATTTCGAATTTTGAGTTTTCTTTTTCGGCTTTTTTTTTTCGTGGGAGAGAGATGGGTATTTCGTTTTCATGTCCAAAGTGAGATTTGAAAGATCTCTGCTTTTTTTTTTTCCTTTTATCGTCTTACAATTATTCCTCTGAATTTCCAATTTTTACTACTCTTAGTACTATTTCTATTATTATGATTTTATTTTTTATAAAGAAAAAGAAAAAAGTGACCATTTTCGCATGTGGGTTCAATTCATACTCTGAAACTGGAAGAATATTTGGCATGAGATCTATTTTCATTTTTAAAAATGGAATCTTTTTCTGTTTATTTTTGTGCTATAAAGTAAAGGTGAGGGCTTTTTCCATTTTCATAAATGTGCAAGTGAGTTCTGTTCCAATGTTATACATTTATTTTTGGTCCCTCGGTATTAATTTTATTCAAAGATCACATTTTGTTTGGATATTATTTTATCGTTTTGCATTATTGAAATATTGATATGCAAAATGAATAAAGGGGCAGGGGGGACAAATGCAGGCAAAACTGTGGCAATAATACTAGGAGGAGCTGCTGGTGTTGGCTTTCTTGTCATCTGCTTGCTTTTTGCTAGAGGCTTGATGAAGAAACATGAAGGTACCTTTATATATATACACACGCATATATATTTATATATATATATGCATCATTTATATTTATATACACTCATATATATATACATAATACATACATATACATGCACATGTGAGGGATAGAGGCAAATTGATTGATTTATTGAGCTCTCATTATGGTACTTTGGCAGATTATTGAGAGGGGAGAACAAAAGGAGAAGCAAGCTTATGTACTTTGAGGTGCAATTTCCAAATTTCATGAAAATGTTATTCTATTAATATTGTTAATTTTTTAATCCATATTTTTGGGAGGTAGAAATGGACTTACCATTGAATGTTTAACCAAAAAAAAAAAAAGGATATCCAAAATGTGCAAAAAGAAATTGTAAAATTGAATTTGGATGTTCCTAAATCTTTTTGAACGGTAAAAAAAAAGAGATGAAATCCATCAACCCAATTAAATAGAATACCAACCCATCATGTTACAAGTGGTTTGTAAAAGCACTAAATAATAGAACGTGGATACTGACTTTTTTTTTTTTTTGTTGTATTCTTCTATGCTACTTGCATTATTTTAAAAATTTTATTTTTGACATTATTGATTTTATTTTGCAAAAACCAAAACTGCATAAGCTTTTGGAAAATTTAAATCCGTGAGAATATATTGATAATATAACTATTTAGCTGTCAAATTACATGACCCTGATTTGTATATGGTTTCACATTTATACCTGTAAAATTGATACAAATAGAAAAAATTGAATTTTGAACTGCAAAAAAAAAAAAAAAAAAGAAGAAAAAGACAGGTACTGAAATTTAAAAGAATTGTGGGCCCCACGTATTTTATTTTCATGGGGAACAGACATCTATACTCTGAACCTGCACCTTTATCTTTATGCTCTAAAAAAACTAAAACTAGAAAAACGAGTCCTTAAAAATAAAAATAAATTATATATATATACGTATACATATATATATATATATATATATTTCCTACGTAGTAATTACAAAATATATTAACTTCTATGATTCGTTTGAGAATCACTCAGCTTCAAATGCAGAATGTTTAGAACAAAATCTGATTCCGACAAACTTGGGACTCAATACAAGATCTTGAAAGGAACACATTAAACTGGGTCTTGTACAGTTGGATCCATCCGCTACATTCACTTTGTTCTGTCTTTCATATGACACAAGAATCGTTCTGCATCTCCCCTTCTGCTGAATCTTGGATTCATTTCTTATGAACCGCGTCTGTCTTGAGCTTGTTTTCCCAAGTTGCAGTGACTGTAACCCATAACAGATAGATAGCAAGAACACTACCAATAAACGTGCTGAATGTTGGATTCGTTTCATTCTTGACGAGTGATTTTTTTTTTTATAACGTGGGAATCCCAACTGTTATCCTTTGGACACACGCTGACTGGGTAAACTCTCACCCACATTCACAAACCCGTGACACATATATGTGGGATGTGAATTAACCGTAACTAATGGACCACAAGTGAGTGGTGCAAAGAGTCGATACCGCAACCTCTTATATGGAAGGCGAATTCCTTGCCAACTCTATTGGGGGCTTCCCCTTTATGAGTGATATTATCCAACATATTAGTGTAAAGGTGTAAAAATTCTCCACTAATCCATGACAAAACTGCATTTAATACTTGGGGAAAGTTTTCATATCACAAAAGAAAGTTTTTGAAACAAGTATTAGTACATTTTCTTCTGTTATTTACTTGAGCATACAACTTATGGCCATGAAGAAGCTTTGGACAAAACTTGCACCTGCAAGTCTGCAATAGTCAAAGAGACCTTATGAGGAAGAGAATTCTTGAACCTGATTCTATCCGGGCCTTTCCTCTTCATCATCACCATCATCACATTCATCTGTTTCCCACAAAAACCGAGCATATGCTGCAAGAATGTTGCTGAAAACAGAGAAAATTCTTACAGTTCAGCTTTTGCAACCTTAGTGCATAAGGAGAAAATTCTTACAGTTCAGCTTTTTCAACCTTAATGCACAAGGTGAAAACATGTATTGTGTATTGGGGGAGAAAAGATCGGTACCTGTCATCTGGAGAGGCTTGAACGGCTTTTTTGATGTAGAGCGAGGCCATATCACGGTCACGATGAACTTCCCAGAATAATTTAGCGTATTGGTACATTGTTTCTCCATCTTCAGTTTCAGCCTGTCCCGAGCTTGGATTCTGGTCTTGTGATCTGTTAGACTTTTTCCGGTGCAAGGGAAAAGAAACTTTTTGATGTTAAATTATGCATGAAAAGACACAGGCAGAAAGATGGAAAACATCTTTGATGAAACAGGCTGGACTGTTATTGTTCAGATTCAACTTAGAGTTACAATCTATTCATGATCTGTGAGCCCATATCTCAGCAAGACAGGAGATATGTTACTGATCCAAAATCGGCAATAACTGCAGTGAGATCGGTATATAATAGGCAAAGTTTAATCCCTTTAACCTTTATGAGTAAACGGTAATCCAGAAATGCACCAATTTAAGACCAAAACCACCTTATATTGTTCTTTTCCTCGACCATTTTCTTCTTCATCATCACCACCACTGTCATCATTCGTCTCCCAAAGGAAACTCGCGTATGCAGCAAGAACATTGCTGAAACAACATATTCACATTATAGTCAGTCCAATGGATCTTTTAAAAATGGATCCCAACAAGGCAACAAATGGGATGTGCTGATCTCAACCGAACCGACCTGTCTTCGGGAGACGCTCGAACTGCACGTTCAAAGTAGTTTGAGGCTTTGGCTTTGTCCTGATGAAGCCTCATCACCAATCTAGCGTACTTCACCAGGATTTCTCCATTGTTGGGCTCAACCAGTGTACACTTGCGATAGTAATCTTCTGCTCCATGGATGTCTCCTTTGTACTGTTGCATCAGAAAACTCGCCATTAATGGAAACTATACGATCATACCAGCACACACAGCAACATATCAATGGTCTGGAGAATCTGAGTGATGAATCTTTTGAACTAAAGCTTCACATTGGATAATGCTTTTGAGTCGTCTGAAGTTTTATATAGATAAACAAGCAGAATCACAGATCCAGAAGCTAAAATTAGTTTCAATACCTCCAAGAACTGCGCGTAGTTTCCGAGAAGCAAAGGATGCAGTGGGTAATCCTCGAGCATCTTTTTGTAGTACCCATCACAGTTGTCGTCATCAAAGCTCGGCAAATCAAATTGAATCTCATTACCATATAAATTGAACTTTTCAATCCCGAGCCCTGCTGCTAAATGCATAGGAGGGCTAGCTGGTCGTTCAATCTCTTCTTCAAAACCCGATTTCTCATTTGGATCTCTTTTCTCATCGTTTTGTGCAATCTGTGGATTCCTATTTCCATCAATCTCCTCATGTCGCTTCCTCGTTTCTTCTTCCCTAAACCCGAACTCTCCATCTCCGTTAAACCCTTTTCCTCTTTCACCATCTTCTCCGAAACCCACGTTTCGGTACCCTTCTACTTTCTCATCGTCTTCTCCTTCGCCGCCTTCGTCGTCTTCTTCTTCCTTGATCGATAAGAAATCCATCTCTCTGACAAAATTGAACTCGCCGCTAATCCTGTCGCCGATCGTAATCGTCCTCTCCAAATTTTCCTCATTTTCAATCACCGGATCTTCATCTTGAACCCCACCTGCAGTATCAACGAAAATATCGAGAGATGGAACACTCCTCAGCATTTTTTTTCTGCAGAAGGGTCTCTCCCAATCCGTTCAAGGCGTGGAATTTTTTCGTGGGTTTGCTCCGTTGAAGATCTTCGAACGTTGGCTGGTTGAAAATTAGGTTCTTCCAGCTGTAAGATTTTGGATTTGGATTCGGAGGAACCCATTCATTGAAAGATGAATGGGAAGAATATTCAAACATTGAGATTCGTGCGACGACCCAGTTGCATGAGTCATTTCATAACATTTCCTAGGGATCCCCAAAACCGCCCCTGTAATATTTGTCAATTTAGAAGTTTTTCTCAAGTTTTTTAAAAGTGACAATTTGGCCCTTGTGCTCTAGTAACCAAATTAGAGGCTTATATAATTAAATTCCGCTGAAATGAACATTGCCGGGCTTGAATTTGTTGAGATTCGATATTAATTCTAAAACTTGTAAAACGATCCATAGTTTGGAAAATTTTATATTGAGATTATTTTGACCCCCTTATAAAAGAAAGATTATTTTGACCCCATATATATGTGTGTCAGTGTGTGTATATACATTGCTTAAGTGCCGGAAATGACCCCAAGATTTTCCACTAGTTGTTTTTTTTTAAAGAATCACTTCGTTCTTGATTTTTCGCTTTCCTTAGGCCGCACGCTTCCCGTTTTCACAATATTTTTTTTTAAAGAAAATCCACACTAAAGCCAAGGCAACTACATATTTCAATACCAATTTTTTTTTTGGGTTGTTTTAATTATCATCGGATTTGATATCGGTATGGGCCCCAAAAATGCAAAGCCCATCCTATAACCGCACCACACATGGGGGAGACGCTCGAATTGATATAGAAAACCCTAAACCCTAATTCAGACACCCTAAACATAGAAAACTACTGCATGAAACACCACATGACCCCTAAAAGGACTTTGCTGTCTGTCTAATCTCTAAGAATTGCCATATGCACAGTAAATATTTTTTTTTAAAGAAAATCCACACTAAAGCCAAGGCAACTACATATTTCAATACCAATTTTTTTTTTGGGTTGTTTTAATTATCATCGGATTTGATATCGGTATGGGCCCCAAAAATGCAAAGCCCATCCTATAACCGCACCACACATGGGGGAGACGCTCGAATTGATATAGAAAACCCTAAACCCTAATTCAGACACCCTAAACATAGAAAACTACTGCATGAAACACCACATGACCCCTAAAAGGACTTTGCTGTCTGTCTAATCTCTAAGAATTGCCATATGCACAGAAAAACCCCCAAAAAAAAAAAAAAAAGGGGACCAAATATGGAACTGAAGATTCAACGTTTCCATGCGCCAAAAAAAAAAAAAACGAAACAATGGTGGATACCTCCTCCTGCGCTTTCGGTGTTTGCCAATAGTCGTACCTCTCTCCCTTCAATCTCCCCCTCGGTCTTTGCATCGTCTCTCCTCCTCAGGGGGCGATGATCTGATCGTTGAATTCTTCTTTCATCTTCTCAAAAAAGCCGAAAAAAAAATTTGAAATCATCAAATGTGAATGATCTCAGCCCTAGAAAATGTCCATGTTTCCGTCGTTTCAATTGCTGGAGCTCAACATTATCTCCGCACAAGACTTGGCCCATGTTTCACGTAAAATGAAGACGTATGCCATCGCCTGGGTCCACTCAGAACGCAAACTCACCACCCGGGTCGATTACTCCGGCGGATCCAACCCCACCTGGAACGACAAATTCGTCTTCCGGGTCAACGACGAGTTCCTCTACGCCGACACCTCCGCCGTCATGATCGAAATCTACGCCCTGCATTGGTTCCGTGACGTTCATGTCGGAACGGTTCGTGTCCTGATCAGTAACCTCATCCCGCCCTCTCATCGGCCTGGATTCCGGACCGGTAACAACGAGTATCGCCGCTCGACACTGCCTCCGGGGATGAGATTCGTGGCGCTTCAGGTCCGGCGAACTTCCGGCCGGCCTCAGGGGATTCTGAACATCGGAGTTGGGTTGCTCGACGGGTCGATGAGAAGCATGCCGCTTTACACGCACATGGATTCGTCGGCTGTGGGCTATAGGGATTTGCTCGGAGAAGAGGACCCCCATTTGCAGCATCTGAATCTGAATAGCAACAAAGGCAGTTCGAGGAATCCGCAGTCGCCGGCGTCGAGACAATACCAGTCGGTGGTTTCCAAGCCGGAGCTCCGGCGAACGAAGAGCGATACGAGTTCCATGGTCGTCTCGGATCTCCTCAGCAGAGCGGAACGGAGCCGTGCGGCGAACAAGCAGCCGGCGAGTGTGTTGGCGAGCAGCGACTCAGGGACTATACCCACGACGTCCGGACACGACACGACTTCCTCGTCGGAATCCGAAGCCATGAAAACGGTAGAGCATCCGTCTTCGAGCAAAAAGCCCAAAATATCCAGGAAGAGATACGATTCGATCGAGTCGGATGTTATCGATCCACCGATGAAGGAGAGCCCATATCTGCCGCCGCCGATAAGGGACAAGCCCGACGTCCAGCCGTACGGATTGTACAATCCGACACGCAAAACGCCGATGCGGGAGAACCAGAGACCGGTGAAGGATTACGGACGCAGCGGCGCGTCGCCGTACTTGTCGAGGAACGGAACGCCGTTGAGATCAAACATCGTCGGATCTACTCCGATCAGATCTAACATGGTCGGATCCACTCCAATGCGATCGATCGGCGTTGGATCGACCCCGATGCGGTCTAATATCATCGCATCGACACCGATGCGGTCCAACATCATCGGATCTACGCCGTTGCGATCCACCTACATGGCTACACCGATGAGATCCAACTTCGGCACTCCGATGAGATCCAACTTGGCCGGACGGCCGATCTTAACCGAATCAGAGCTAGGTCCATCGCCGTCGGAGGTGGCGGAGAAGATGGCGAAGGAGAGATCGAGCCCAAACGACACCGAGAGCTCGATCCTCAGCGAATGGAGCATCGAAGACAATAGCATCGAAGGACTGCGGTCGAAGCTCGAGCGATGGCGAACGGAGTTGCCGCCATTGTACGACCTCGGGTCAAGCCACTTAAGCAGCGAAATGGACGAAGACGCCGCCGCCGGGGGGAAAAGTTCCAGGACGAGAAAGACTCCGGCGACGAAGACGCATAGTCGCCGTCACACCGACGGAGGAAACGGTCTGTTTTCGTGCTTCAGCAACATCTGCGGCGTCGAGTGTACCTTCGTCTGCGGCGGGTCGGATCCTGACGGGTCGAAGAAGACGAAGGAGAAGGGCGGGAGTGGGCGCGCTGAAAATTTGAGCTATATGTGATTTTACATTTTATATTTTTTTTGGACCGACAATATTCTCTTTTCTTATCTTTATACCGAAGATGACGCAATTGTGGATACTGTATTTTTCTATAAATATACATGATTAATTGTACTTAATTACCAATCCTATATTATTTTCCTCGGATTTTTTTGCCCTTGGGGGTTCCATTGGAAATGGTAAATTATCTAGCGTTATATGCAATTCCTATAAAATATTAGGGCTTTTCTGTAATTACCTAAAAATATTTTGAAATTTGTACACCCCCCAGCTCAGTGAGGCAAGAGACCGTCTCTCTTCTAGTTGTCGGCATCCCTCTATCCCTCTATATCGTCCATGCTCGTGGGTCGGAGATTGAAGATCAATGGTTCCGACCTTTCTACTTTTATGTTTCTCCGCTTGTCGGCTCGCGCAGCTATCGCGTTTCGGAGTTGCAGTTCTACTTCTGAACTCGGTTCCCCTTTCCATCTTCTCCATCTTCTCCAATTGTCGTCTAATCATCGGTCTCTGCGGTTCGTCAGACAGTGCCATGCTCGCACTACTTCTTCCGGGTTGACCCAGAACCCGTTTTTGGCTACGAAGCTACTCTCGGCCTACGCCGTAGCTGGTGAATGTGGCCACATGATCGAGTCGCAACTTGTTTTTGATTCGGCTCGAGAGAAATCAGTTTTTCTTTGGAACTCGTTGATTAATGGGTATGTGAAGAACTGTTTTTACAGTAGCGCTTTGGGAATTTTTGATCAAATGTGCAATGTGTTCTGTCTTCTGCCGGATGATTTTACTCTAGCGACGGTATCGAAAGCTTGCGCCGAGTTAGGAGACTTGAGAACTGGGAGAATGGTTCATTCGAAAAGCATACAACTCGGCTTTATCTCAGACATGATTGTGGCCAACTCCCTATTGGCCATGTATTCTAATGGTGGACAATTCGGTGAGACACGGAAAGTGTTCGATGAAATGCCCAACAGAAACGCGGGTTCTTGGAATGTGCTGATCTCGAGTTATGCCAATTTATCAAGTTGTAATTCCGACAAGGACTTATGGGGAATTATCAGGATGATGCACATTGATGGAGTGAAACCTGATGCATACACTCTTTCCACTCTT